CAATGCTTTCATTTTACTTCTTTGCAAGCAGCACCTCATTGTGAAGGAAAATTTTTATACCATCTAAGGGAAATAAAAATTCTGGTGAAATTATCTTCATGTTCTTAGGCACCTTGAAGGCAGAAATTAACACTTGGGAGTCTAACTGACCCCATCTCAGTCCTTATTGGCCAACACCCTTACTATTGCTCTTCAAAATTACATCCAAATCAGACCTAAAGTTAAGCGTGGTTTTTTCCAAGCGGTGGCCAACAGCAAACACTTAAGCTATGAAAAGGAGGATCTAAGTGAGGATGTGACTCTTTCCCAGTCAGACCCTTTCAGCTTCTAATAATCACCAATTCATGATTTACTGAACCAAAACCTTCTAGCTTATCACAGTCACCAATGGGCTTAAGTTAACTACAATTTTCCCTCTAACAAGTTCAGCTATGTGAAATTTTTCACCTGCACTCACAGCAGCAAGACAACAATAAATTCCCACAAATGAAGGCAAAATCTGATCTACAGCACAAATGTTACTAAAACATGGAGAACTTACCAGTCTGACATTACACAATGAAACAAACAGAATAATTCAAATATCCCTGAAGAACTGTGTAAACAGAGGAAATAATTAATGAAATTTATTTCTTATGGCTTGATTGGAGCCTGGAGCCAGACCCTGCAAATAAAGCTCCCCTCTATTATAAAAGTAAGAAAAGAGAACTTCTTATGAATAGCAAAAGAGAAAAAAAAACAACCAAAGAAGAAAAAAAAACCCAAACAAACAAAAAATCAAACACCAAAACGAAAAACAACAACAAATTCAGAGAATTTCTTTAAACAAGTCAACACTTACAGCTCAGAACTAGGAAACACCTCAACCTGAGCAGGTCTGTACTGAACCATAGTAATTGAGGCCAGAAAAGACCTCTAGAGGTCTCTAATCCAATCTTGCCCTGTTGAGTTTTGAGTATCTTCAAGGCTGGCATATCCACTGCATTCCTGGGCCACTCTCTCCCACTTTAAGCATGAAAATATTTCTCTTCACGTTCACTCGGGATTTTCTCTAATGCAACTTTAACTCACTCTCGCACACCTTTTTGCTATGCACCTCTGAGAAGGTCCTGGCTATGTCTTCTTGAAACCCACCCATTAAGACAGATGAAGAACAAAACAGAGGATGCTTCCAGAGTCAGCCCGAAAACCCCAGCTCTTGCAGTCTCTCACCACATGACATGTGCTCTGACCCTCTCACCTCAGGAACCCTGTGGTGGACTCACTCCTGCCCAACACTGCACACAGTACTCCAGATGTGGTCACACAAGTGATGAACAGAGGGGACTTTCCTTGACTTGCTGAAGGCTCTTCTCAGTGACCTGCAAAGGTGCACTGCTGACTTGCAACCAACTTGCTCAGATACAACATGGGAGTAATAGGATTATGCTGGAACACCATGTATGTTTATAGAGTATTTAGAAAATGTCTCTGTAACATAAGGGCATCAACGGTAACATGCCTCCTCATCCCTACGTCAACGTATTTTTACCAACTGATAATGCTTTTGCAAATGTCTGGGATCTCATACCCTTAGGAAAACAAAAATGAACAAAAAAAACCCCCAAACTAAAAAAACCCTAAAAACCCCCAAAACAACCTAAAAAAGAAGTGGAGGTAGAAACTGTTGTTTTAAGAAGACGGTAAGAGACAATAACTCAAGTATGAGGACTTTATGAGTGACAAAATAACAGCCAGAACTTATTCTACAAAACTATAAGCAATCTGTGCCTGTCACAGAAGAGAAGCATCTTAAATAATTTCTTCTCTATTCACAGAACAATTGGGTAAATCTAGTCTGCCACCAGATCCACTTCAAGGGAACTGACATGAGAACAAATTGCAGTAATTCCAGATTGGCTACAATGAATTCCAACTGAATTGCAAAGCTACAATAATGAGACTTAATTTTCAAGAAAATCCAAAGATGGAAAAAAAAGAGTCCCATGTTGTGGAAAAAACCCTAGAACAAAGACTAAATTCCAGGACACGCTCTCCAACAATTCAATCACTCCAGATCATGTACACTTCTCCTGATATCACCACACCAGTGTCTGTTCTGTTCAAGCTAATTCATAACAAACCAACAAGCCACTAGTCAACTGCAAATTGTTCAGAATCAAGGAAGCAAACTGCCATAAGCACCCTGGTAATGGCTGAAGTCTTACACCTTCCTTGTACCTCTCGAAGGTTGAAGAAAAGCCAAAACAGACAGGGCCAACCCAGACACTGACACATGGAACTAAGTGTCTGATTTCCCAGTTAAGCCATTTGTTATTTTCTCTGGTCAGAAGATGCTGTGGGAAAGCAGAAAACTGGTATTTACCTGGAAGCTACAGACAGGGAGGATATGCCAACCTCCAGTCATTCAGAAGGGGTTTAACTGTTTAACCTTCTGATAGGATATTGATGCATGATGAGACCAGCAGCTACCTGACAGGGACAAACAGAATTAAGACGAGATTATTCTACATTAGGTGGTACAGACATGCAGTTTTAATGGTGTCACTTTGATCCTGCATCACATGAACCCATAATCAGGATACAGAAGTTCTAGTACTATTTATATTCTTCCCTATTGCTTTAAAAAGGCAATGCTTGAAACAATGACATTTTTTTTAAGATGGTATAGTAAGCAATATTTCTTTTAAAATTACAGCTGTCCAACAGTTTAAATCTGTTCTTTTTAAAATGAAACAGCCAGAACAAATGGTGGTGGCAAGCCCAGCGTAAAGAGGTCATCGATTATTAAAATCTCCTCACTATAAATCGTGGATGTTGCTTGTCAGCTTGGTGTGTGACTGTGGAATGAGTAAGTAGGTAAAATTCCACTAAGGCTACAGTTTGCTTGATCATTCTGCTGTGCAAAAATAGAAATAAAAGCTCTCCCTGTTCTTTCACTCTTTAGTACCAGACATTCATAGACACATTAAGAAAAAAACTTCAGTGGTGCAATGGTCGCTGATCCAGTTCCTTTCTTTCCTGAGTCTGCCCTGATGCTACTTACAAATTTGCCTACTCAAGAAATGCAATAAAACAGAAAAAAAAAAAAAAAAAAAGATGGCTTCATTCTGCTTCAGTGATCTATATCTAAGGAAAGCACATAAATTTTCCAATGAAATCCATAAGTGAAGACGAGGCCAAGCCCTACCTATATATCTTCAAAGTTACAGAGCAAAGAGATGCCAACTCTGTGCCCCCTGAAAGCACAAAATCTCCTCCACACTTACCTAAGCAATTTTCATGAGATTCACAGATGTAAAGATGATCTAGTTGGCCTATGCCTTGAAGGGTGTAAGCTGGCTAAAAACTTGCTGAGGAGCCACGTTTTCAGAGTTCACAATACTATCTGATAGTTAAGCAAGAGCAATGGATGAGAACAAGACAAGTAACAGCAACTTCCCTTCGTTCCCCCCACCTGAAAAGGGGAAGGGAGAAAAGGGAAACCCATCCTTCAGACTGAGCTGTTTTTCTTTTTTTAAGCTATTCCCACATAAACTGGGAAGATAAAAATGGAATGTTGAGGAAACACTATGCAAATTTTTATATATCTACATACAAAAATTTACATAGGTTTTTAATTTTTATTTTTAATGCAACACAGTCCTGCCCATCTCTAACACTTCCCATGCTGTTTCCATCGAAATGTTTCCTCTTACCGGCAGCAGCATATCATTTTATCAGGATGCCAGGAGATCATTTCCACACAATGCTAGCAGATGTAATTTTCTTAGATGCACACACAGTTCATCATTTAGATACTAGATGACAAGGTGATCGCAGGGTGACTCTGTAATGCAAGTTTGCTGTTTGGTATTTTGAATTCTCAAATGATAAAAAAAAGACTTATCAAATATAAATATCTTTAAGAAAAAAGTAACAAAAGTGCTACATATGATCAAGGAAAACAATTCCATTAGTTTCTGCTACTTAAAGTAGGTTTGCTTTACAAATATTACCACATCCATTATCAGTATGGCTTCCAATTATTAATTAAATTGCTCGTAGCAGTATAGCTTTCTCACATCTTAACAAGGACAGAGTAAAGAGAACACAAAACATTCACACCCCATTTCTCAGGTAAGAGATCCTCCTGCCTTTAAACAAACCAAAAAAGTTTGTATTTAGGAGAATATTTATGCTATGATGGTTACCTAGCAAAGGTCAGATGCAAAAGTTCTCCAAGAACCTTTCAGGCTAGTCAGGACATCAGCATTAGTTACACAGATGTGTAAAAATCCACTCATCCATTTTATGACCTTAATAACCTTCCTAGAAAACATTGCTTTTGAAAGCAGCAAAGTGGAGAGGGGAGTAGGGATGGGGACAGAAAAAGTGAGAGGAAGAATAATAGGTGAAATTGTTAATGACAGATCAATAAAGTCTAGACCTCTTCTGAGCAGGCACTGCTAGCCATGCCAAATAATGAATAGTGGTTTTGAGAAGTGGACTGTTGTCCATTAGACATTCAGCTCATTTTTCATATGATCCCAGGATGGGCTTCAATCACGGTCCCAGAGGCAGAAGGCAGTACTTATCCACTAAGCCACGCAGCTTGTGAGAGTAGAGGATGTCTGTGTTGAATATGTGAACATCAACCAAAATATGTGAATGTATTTCCAATGGACATTCTCAGCACAGCACCCAAAAGTATATCAAGTCACTGTATGACCAGTGAGGCACAGCTTATTGCAGCTGGAAATCATTTATTCCCATGCTGAAGTGGGGTTTCTAGTGTTCTTTTTACTCTCTGTTGATACTCCCGATCTGGTGTCCATCGACCCTGTGCCACTACCTCAGCTTGCATCCTTTCAGTCTCAGAGAAGGAAAAGCATACAGACTATTTTTTTAACACGATCTCTAAGGTTATCCAAGGTTTTAAGTGTAGCCTAAGACTTGTAATTGAGGGCTGTCTAAAATACCTGGAAGCACTTTGAATGCTAAGACAGAGCAGCAAGATTTTTCTAGCCACTGGGGCTGGGAGAGGGAGGTTGGTTGGTTGATTGATTATTTACTGGGAATTAATACTGAGAGAGTATATGCAAAGGCTGAGGGCACCATGCCATCTTCACAGAACAAGACCCTAACAGCTAACTGACGTACAAGAAACTGCAAAGTTATACTGTAAGAACACATATTAAGGACTGAGGAAAGTCTGCTAAGGTGCTACGTCTAAAACTAAGTTACTTCTTGCTTTGACCCTCCCCTTTCTTTGTATCAGTCGTCGTCTAGAGCTTCTGTCTTGATCTCGTTGGCTCCTTGCCGGGCCAATGCCAAGATGGTATGGTTTACCGCTGCCATTTCCACGGCTAATGAAATGGGGTCTTGATGGTCACTATGGCTAGTGCTGTCATCCTGTGCGTGTGGAAAGGAGAAGAGAGAAGCATTGTTACTCTGTGAGTAGAAAACCAGCAGATAAACAAGTGTGTAATTGACTATGGGCAGCGAATTACACATTGGTTACAGGGGCAGAATGTGGAAGGGCTTTACAAAATTGGTTTATGACTGATTTCCCACACTGTGCAGACAAAGGTAAGTAAGGCAAGGAGTGGCACACCCAGCTTTTGAGAGGAATTTGAGGGGATAGGGAGGCGAATAGTCTGAGGAAATACTAAATTATAAAGACAGAAGTGATACACAAGGTATGCCAGGAAACCAAACTAAGATAGGAAGCAATGTGCACTGCACAAATTCATGCTACACTTACATTTTGAATAGACAGTTCTGGTCACCCCAATTAAAGAGGAAACAATAGAACTAGAAATGGTAGAGAGAACGGTAACCCAGGGGAGGAGAGGCATGGGGTGGCTTCCTTACGAGAAGAGGCTACACAGACTCAGGTTCTTGAGTTTGAAAAAGAAATGGCTGGTAGTTAATATGGTAAATGTTTATCACAAAAAATTAGTAAATAAAGAACAACTGTTCATGGCTTCTTGTGTTCTAACTCATTGGAATGATTATATACTCCAAAGTGGCAGTGGGAAGCATTGCTTCACTTATCACGATTCATTTGTAGGATTCACTGATTTTTAGTTCAGATGAAAATAAAAATGGCTTTAGAAGGTGGGTTTACACAAGTTCAGGGAAAATTTAGTCTACTAGAAATTATCAAACCTGAAAGTGGATACACTGCCTGGCTCAGGAAGCCTCTCAAAACTACTGACTTCCAGAAGATGGAAGCTACTATAATAAAATACATATTCCTCAAAAATCCTTTTTCTTTAAATTCTACTATTGTCCTCACTCAGAAACAGGATAAAAACCTAGACTCACCCTTGGTCTGAGCCAGTGTGCTGTGAAGACACTGAATTCATACAGGTATAGGGGAAAAGATGCCAAAAAACTCTTAGACTGCTAAGAAAGACAGTGCAATGATTTTGGAGGACCAGAACCAACGTAATTTAAATACGTAGGTGAAGATACTGGTGGGTTCTCCAGTTCACTGAACTATGTGCCACATAATTCTTTGTCTGTTTTCTAAAGAGTAAAGTCTCTCAGCTGTAAGAGAATCATTGTGTAGTTGGTTGAGTTGGTTGGCGAGAAAAACTGACACAGAAAAACTTTGCTGCTACAGGACTGCAGTGAAAATTTAAAAAATCAATTTAGTGTTGTACACGTAACATGGCGCATAATGGCCATGCAATATCAGACCTAAAAGGCTGACAATTCTAGCATAAATTTTATAGCAAGTAAGTATGTTTCATAGACTACATCAGAAGGAGGGCCAGGTTTTCAACAATGAGGAGAATGAGCACCATCCAAACTCTAATTCCAGCTGTCAAATTCTTTTGAAACTTTGGGCAAAATCATGGTGTTTTCCCCTCTTTAAAACAGGGTACCAACAGTTACTGTGCCATGATCTCGCAGATTTTTTTAATTATTATTATTTACTGAAAGGAAATGATAAACATTTATCAGTCTTCCAACAGCCTTTAAGTGATAAACTTGTGAAATTTAAAATTTAAAATGTCTATTATGCATTTTACATGAAGATGACAGGTGGTAAACGCTGAGGCGGACAGAAAAGCCAGAGTTAGGTAAAATCCTGAGGTTATTTAAAGGAATGCATTCATTTACAACAAATGTCAGGCAAATATTGTGATGTGCTCACACTCTTAAGGGCCTCTCAGGATATTTACTACAGTAAGAAATACATAGTCCTGACTTCTGGAGTTCTAGGCACTTCATTAGTATTTGGGTGAACTTTGTGTTTTAAAGTTTACTAGAGTTAACGTGTCATTGTAGAGAAGAGAATTTATGGTTTTAACAGCTAAGGGATGTTAAATGGTCATTGGGAGAGCTTGCCATTTATAAAATTTGCTTCCTTGCTAATGCCTAATTACACTTCACAGAAGGAGCCCAGCTAGATTACTGAGAAATCTAATTTTTAAGGGCTCTAAACAAAGATCTTTAAATTTTAATAACCAATGTATTTCTCTTTTCGAAGTATTCTGGACAGCACACAGAAGGAAACCATAGTTTGGGAGTCTACATAGAACTTCACGTCAGTATTCAGGTCCTGTATCTGACTGACAAGGAATTATCTGTGCTCAGCAGCAGTTTCAACATATTTTATAGCCATTACAGAGCAGTCTCTCATCATCTAGAACTAGCGAAGCTGGTTCCACCAAATCTGCTGGTGATGACCTATAAGAAAGACCTTAATACCCATCAGAAGCAGAGCGGCTGGGAATGCTTCTGCCAGGTACTGTTGTACTAGGCCACAGCCAAGTGTGCTAAGGACTCATTCCAGGACACTCGGTTGCTATTACTCTCTACCAGCAGCTTTTAGAGGAGACCTACCTAATTCTCCCAAATGAGTCAATTAAAAGTGATCTGCCCACCCCAGCTGCTGCTGGGTGTAGCAGAGAGCACAGCTCACGGCAAAACCAGAACCAAGTGAATTGCTGAAGGCCACTGATGCCAAGCACACACACAGCCCTGGGGGGGTTGGCCAACAATGACACCTGAACACCTGAAGGAAAATTGGGAAGGGGATGCAATACCTGTCAGGAAGGTGTGTGAAGGAAGGGTCACCAACTTTAGGGTAGGTGAGGGCTCAGAGTGCGGGAAGGGGTATTCTTTTGCTAGAGAATTTAAAAAAGAAGTTGCTGTCAAGGGTTAAAAATAACCAAGGAAAATAGAGAATAGGCAAGAGTTAAAATGCAAAAAGAAAAAAAAACCAACCCAAAAAGACAGATAATATGTAAACAATCCAAATAGTGGCACATAGTTGCAGAACAATACAGAACCGGTACAGAGCCAAATAAATGTCAAACCTTATTTAATCAAATCCTTTCCCCCCACCCTTCACCCTTTGTCTGTCAGTGTCTTAGGGATAGATCCTGAGATGCTCCTGAAAGGTACTGCCACAAAGAAGAGAGAGCTCAGTACCTTACAGGAGGGCACTCAGCATCTTGCTGGGAAAGGTTGCCAAAAGGGATTATAAAGTGTACGGGGCAGGGACTTGTCTGGGTGCCAGATAAGCAACTCACAGGAGCTGTAGCACAAGCTGTAATGGAGACATTTCTTGCAGAAAGAAATAATAGGTTTAAGAGGAAGACACATGCCTAGTTTTGCAGGGAAGCATGTTGGTGCCTGATATATAGAAGCAACTGTTAAAGACCTGTACATCCTTTCTTGAGGGTGGATAACTACAACAGTGTCAGGGGTAAGGAGAGCGCAAGTTATGCATGGTGCACTGGGTGAGTTAACACTCTCCTAACATGTTTCATACATTGCGTGTGGCGTGAATGGTGTAACTTGCTTGTTTGGAGCAGATCCTCCTGTCTTCTTCTACCTTCTCTGCTTCTCTGCCTCCCTCTGAACATCTTCCCTCCTCCTCCCCATTGCGTACTTGCCAAGTGTCCTGTTGTATGACAATAAATCCATGTGGGTGAATACTGGTTGCTTCAACACATTCAAACAGGGGAGCTGTGTTCTTCCACTTTCCCCATTACAATTACATAAAAGCAAAACAACAGAAGACATCTGATTTGCGAGAGGTATAGGGCCTCTTTGTGCTTCAAGTGAACTTTCCCTTTTTGGGCCACGCACCTTGACCATAGTGCTTACCTGCTCCGAGTAGTCATTGCCATCAACGTCATCACTGTTGGAATGACCTCCCGGACTCTGTACATCTATTCCATGGCTCTCCAGGATTGCTGCTTCTTCGAAAAAAGCAAATGGATCCCTAATTTATCTGATGCATTAGAGTAACTAAAAGTAGCTACTTTTTTTTTTTTTCAAGAAGTTAGACTAACTGGAAGAACAGTTAGCTCTTAGCCTCTTCCTCTTCACTTTCCAGTATTTGGGAAGGTAGCACATGTACAGACACTAGTTTGCCTGAGATCCTTCCCTATCAACTGACTTGTTTGCAAGTAAGAACCCTTGTTTTCCAGCTAGTCCTATTAGGTATTAGTTTAATCTCTAATGCACTGAAGTGGCAAAGGCATTCCCGGTAGATCTTCCCACATAGTTTGGACTGGCAGGACTTGAGGGGGACAGGGAGTGTCTGAAAATAGATGGAGAAATTCTTTAAAGCACTTAAGGGATTTAAAACCACACATATCTTTGTCTTCCAGTAGGATCCATGCATCTAAAGCTCCCTTTGGTTCTTTTTAATCTCCTTCCAACCCTCCTCCCCAGATTGTACAGTTACAGCTGTAACTCTACCCTGACTTTTCTTTGTTCTCCCCAACACTTGACAGATTTCATTTTTAGAAAAATAAATTTAGGTTAAATTTCAATAACACATTAAATGCTGTAAAAAGAAGGTTTTCTTGTTCACAAATACGGTAAGAAAAAGCAGATACGAAAAGGACACAACATTCTGCAGCTGCAAAAATACTGGTAGTAGGCAGGTATGGATTTCTGTTTGCCTATGGACTACAAATGTAATTCTGCATAGTATCTAAGGAAGCACATAAAATTTTGCATGCACTGCCAAACTTTGTTGACTCCTGGCCACGAATGTGAGTTTATTCTCATTAGAATGTCTTATGTTTATTGACATTAGAAGGTGTACATCTTACAAGTTCAGAGTCACTTCTAATTTCCTTATGGTCTGCTACTCATGCAAAGAACCTGCAGGGCTAACTCTGAAGAGACTTTTGTTTTATCCGGATCATTGAGAAAAATTACTACTTTGTTCCAGCCATTTGTCCTTGTGCAATCCCCTGGAAAGCAGTCAGGAACACAGGTGCAGTCAGACTAAGCAGCTGGCTCGAAGAACCTTTGGTCCTAGTGGCTGTATCTGAGACGTAAAACAACTCACTGGACTCTGAGATCCCTGTGGGGTCTCAGGGATGGCAGTAAGAAAGACAACCCCAGTGGAACACAGACACAAGGAAGCCTATGATCAGATAAAAGCTCTTCACAACATCCACTTTTCATGTGAACTGCATGCTAAGGTTGTGCACTTGCCATCATCTCAATTTTCCTTATTTCCCATATTATTCAGTGCAGATATTTTGAGGTTTTATTTCAGATTTTATTTTGGATACCCAAAGCAGCCTGAGAATAAAGAGATATGTTTCTCCTCCCACCATCAAATTCTGTTTCATTTTTTTTCTACTAAGACTGTCAGAACCTCTAGCATTTTTGTTAATACAGTCTTACATAATTTCCATCTCTCCTGAGCAAGTCTTAGTACTAAACCTTGAAAACAGGTTCTCTGATACATTACCGATATTGGCTCTTCTCTTGATTTCCTTTCTTCTGTTGGCAAACCAATTGTACACTTTAAGGGAGGTAACTCGTTCCAAATCCGATAACTTTTTCCCTATGAAAGTAACAGGAGGTGAGGAGGAGGAATAAATATAGCATTGTTACTCACTGGGTTCCAGAGGCAGGCAAAAGACAATTACACATGTGATAAACCCCTGAAATACAGACAGCACTGAGAAGTGCTTATAACTGAGAATAAAATGAATTTTATGTGAATCAAAGTATTGTGCCCAGATGTTATGGTAATAAACACCAAATATCACTCTAAAAACAAAGTAGCCTTTCTTCTTTTTTTTAAAAAATCGGAACTACAGGAATTGCTTTGCAACTTCAATCAACTAAATCCAGAGCCGTGGGAGAGAGAATAAAGGGCGGCTTTCCTAGTTCAAGCACAAAACTGAGATTCAAAACCCTCAAATTCAATTCACAGCCTTACCACAAATCGCGTACCCCTGGGCTAGTTCTCTTAGTATGTGCTTCAAGGATATAGTTCAATGACCTGTTTTCTTCAGAAGCAAAATGAATGAAGAAATTTTGTGCCATCCCTTCCAATTTGCTTTCCTCCCTCTAAACCACCAGCTGCTATCTTGCTCCCGCAGCACTAATCACACCCTCCCAAATGTGCCAGGACACTTGCGATCTTTTGGGAGAACGGGTAGATGTTGGAAACCAGATCACTGGAGTTTTATGCTTAAACCAGCCAAAAAAATGCCAGCCACCACCAGCCAGCTACAGGAAACAGTGCCTTTTGCTGATCACCAGCAGAAAAGAGGGAATGTAAGCATATTGTGGAAACCTCTTCAGTTGGCCTTGACCCTATATAAAATACCGGACGTAGTTGCATCATCAGTCCTCTGCAGGCTACATGGGGATGAGACTCCCCTACTTCAGATTGTTTCTCTAAAGTTTATTTATTCAGCATACAAAATACTCATGTAATTGCAGCAATCCGAAAACTTAAATAGGTAAGGAGAGATGAAACAAGTGAAATTAAAATCTGGAAATAGCCAGCTATGCTGTTTCCTAATGCTGTGCATCAGTACCACTCACAAGATTTTATTGATCCTGAGACAAAATGTGTTCAAACAGTTTTTTCCAAGTTGCTTAACCGACGAGCAGCACAGCCAGGAATAAAACCCCAACCTCTTTGGTGATCTACCTGATAGATCATTCTGCTTCCACAACATAAAAGACAAGAGACAACACATACAAGTTGCAACAAGGGAAATTTTGATTAGGTATTAGGAAAAAGTATTTTGCTATGACAGTGGCTCAACACAGTGGAACAGGGGCCCAGAAGTGGGTAAACCTCTAGTTTGGAAATTACTGAAAACTGAACAAGGCAAAGCCCTGAGCAGCCTAACCTAAGCTGGTCCTGCCTGACCAGGTGATCTCCAGAGGTCACTTCCAGCCTAAATTGCTCTATGATTCTGTGCTGTTCTGTGACTGTCCCAATGTTCAGGAGTCATGCCTTAACCTTCTTTTGCATCAGTTTTTATATTCTGGTTAAGTAAAATAAAAATATATCCAAAATACAAGTTCTGAAAACTATGTAAACATTTGTTTAGTAAACCTAAGCAAAGGCAGGTGTATTCACTACACTGAATATTCATGCTTCTAACAGATTCAAAGAATTGTTTGGGTTGGAAGAGACCTCAAAGCTCATCTAGTTCCAACCCCCTGACACAGGCAGGGACACCTTCCACTAGACCAGGTTGCTCAAAGCCCCGTCCCTTAGCTGCTCTAACATTTTCCTGAAGCCTTCTTTTCTCCAGGCCGAACAACCCCAGCTCTCTCTTCTTTTAAGTACAACTTCTCCAGCAACACAGAAAATGCAAGTTTTTGACCCAAATTCAAGTTCCTCTATTAGTACACAGATTCTAATATAAGACCCTTGTCTACAAGCTGTAAAGAAAATTGAAAGCTGGGAAAGCAGTGCTCCTTACTCCTCTGACGATCTGCTGTATAATCTCCAGCAAGCCTCAGTCTGTGAACCTAAAAGTTCCCATCTGTAAAAAGGAACCAGTAAAATACAGTTTCGTGGAGTGTAAAATTCTCAGATTGCTACTGAATGCTTAGATAAGTACTTTGAAATAACTGAACGTAAAGAATGAAAACCTTCCAGACATGTTTATTTTCTTAGCAATGCCATTTACCAAGCTGTATAAATGAAAAGTTCAGATGCACAACTTGTACTTCATATCTCAAATGGTGGGAATTTAAGTTGCAGACATTGGCATTTAGGTTTGAAAATTGCATTGACTGTCACATTCATCCCAGTATGGCAGCTCTGAACACCATGAGTCATAGACTGCTCAGGAAGAAACCTACTACTAGTTGAGAGCACTGCATTTGCTAGTAATAGCCATAAAATGAGATTTGCTGAATTTAGCAAGAGATGTTGAAATCTAATTGCAGTTGCCTTTGGAAAGGACACAATGATCAGCTCCTCACCTGGCTTTTGTATAACTGCATTACAGGCGTTTGCAATTTCTTCTCTCTTTGCCTCATCTGGATATTGATTCTCATTGAAGTAACTGCAAGAGGAGGAAAAAAAAAGATTGGTAATTTTTATGAGAAATAAAAGCATGAAGGCTCCAAAGCAGCTTCATTAAAGGTGCCAACTGCTACTTTACACACAGATGCAGCAAATTTTACGTAAACCCGTATATGCATAGGGTAATATGTGCATGCATTCATATCCACTGAGTGGATAAGCCTTCCCAAACGCCTCAGGTAAATAAATATTAGCTCAGCATTTGCAGTGTCACCTCAGCATTTGGAATATTGCACTAGGAGAGACAAAGTAGGCAATGCTACGAATATCAGGGTTACGACTGCCAAGTGAAGCATCATGTCAGAAGACAACATAGGTCATGCGTCTGCCCCCGTTTATTATCATTTACTCATTTTTTATCCCTGACATACCCCAGCTTAGGCAGCATCCTACAAATGAAGGAGCTGTTCAGTATGTTGATCCCTGGGTTAATATATACACACATACATACATATATATATTACGCACAAAACCACGCAAATATTAAATCCTTTAAACAGATATGGTCTGAAGATTACACAGCCTAAATTACACAGTAATACAGTAAGATTTCTAGAGTCAGGCATGTTTGTTTTTTAAAATCACAATTTAAAATTTTAAATAGCATATTCTAACAGTATTTTTTTCCTGAATAATCATGATTTTATTGTACTTTATATGCAGTAAACATCCTATAAAAGTTAAACTGTTTTCTCTTTTACTTCATTTAAGTGCTTTACAAATTTTAATGAACTGATTTACATTCTACAGAGCTTATCAGATTTGCATTAAAAACAACAAAAAGTCCTGTTTACTTCAACGGACTGTGATAAGCACGCCGTAAGCAGAGACTACTACATTTTTTTTCTGTAGATTGTCCATAATACACAATCCTAAGAATTCTTTGATCAACTTTGATCAGCAGCAGGTTCAGCTGTTGGACAGCTGCTCTGGATTTTCAAATAAGATATTTCGTTATTGCTTAGATCATGTGGTACTAGGAGATTCAGGCATATTTAGGCAATTATTATTTTCTATGGTCATAGTTCTCCTCCGGCAGTTCACCCCAGCACAGTTACTTTCTATAGAAACCTGGATTCTCTTCCATGCCTCAACTGTTTCTGTCCATTCTTCTTTAAACATTCAGTTTGCATTTTAGCTACTACTTCATCCTATTGGTCACAGTGTTATTTACAGTTGCAGCCATACTAAAAAATGGAGTCCTATTTCAAAGTCGCTACACATTGACTAAGAGAAATCACACATTAGCACAGCTAGTTACACTGTTAATGTACTTCCACTTGATTTGCTAGCTTAGAGAGCAAATGAAAACACAGAAATAGCTCTGTCTTCATGAATTGAAGGACGGGCTATGTCTATACTACCAATTTGGGCTTTGGAGGCAACCACATTTACATGTGAACATCAACTACGACTTCCCTGGACCTCCAAGTTGCTCTTATAAAGTAAATCCGGAGAGATTGACCATAACTGCAATTCCCACTATGCTTGATCCTACTCTGAAAAAGCAGCTGAGATTCTACCATTAGATCTGAAGAGTAGGATGCCTGGTTACACTCACTTTCTGGGAAGGTTCAAGTACATAGCACTGTCAAGTCTGGCATTGCCACCAGCAGAAGTGCTCCCTGAATTATCAGCAAGAGAGTTTCTTTCTTTCCCCCTCCCAAAAGTATCCCCAGTCTCTGTGCACAGTATTTTTTAAAGTATATTCTTTCTTCTTCCAGACATATTATCCTTTCAGTTATAAGCTTTTGAAGTGATATGTGTGTCTATCTTAACTTCCAAAATTCTGTTCAAAGGGGTCATGTTCTCTACAAAGATTTTTTTTGAGAGCTTGATAAACAGAGCAGAAAATGCTTCTTCTATTAGTTAGTGGTGGAAGCAGAAACTCAGGACCCCCGTCCAGATGCCCCATGACAGTGTCTCAGCTCTCCCACCTACAAAACAGAACACACTACTTTCTGCCCATAGCCATGAACTATTTCCTCTTAAGTGCCATGAGATAAAGGAAAAAAAAAAAAAAAAAAGTCAAGACATCATGGCTGAAAACTGTACTATTATTCACACAATATATTGTATGACCTGGAATCCTAATCAAGAACCCAGGTCATCACTACATGTACAAAAATTAACTCAGCAAATTCTGGTAGCCATAACAGCTATTTTATGGACCTTTGCTGAATGTTATTTAATTTTTTATAGATAGTTGTCAAAAATCAAGAACAAACACCACAAAAGAAATTCCATAAAATTAGAAAACCTGACGGATCTACACAGTGATGTACTAAAACCAGAAGGTGAAACTATGGTATCACATGATATTATGGATCTAGACCATCTGTGGTCCCCAAGTTGTTAGACAATGCCTAACTTTATGGAAGAAATGACAAAAGATGTAAAATTAAGGAACCATGTATAATTTAACTGCCCATGCTTATGCTGATGCAAGAAAAGACAAGAGCCACTAGTGATCCTTCTCTTGACACATAACCTAACACCATCCCCTTTCAGCAAGCCTCAGACTGCCACACACTTTTGCTGGGTCTAACAAAAAAGCTCACATTTTCTAAAATAACAAAACTTGGGCTCAAGTTTACACATCTCTGAGATAACAGGAAATTTCCCTGCAATGGAGCAAACTTTCAGAACGGGACAATGAATGAGACACCTCTCCTGGCAACCAAGATCTGTGGTTCAATAATTTTTGTGATTTACAAAAAACTTGTTGCCGAAACAGTAATTTTTAACTCATTCTACAACTGAATAAGCTACACACATTTAGAATTGATTGGATCAAAACATACTTTTCATAATTCTGAAACATTTTGTTTAATTCATAAATATATATATGTTTTTGGTTTTTTTTAATGTAAACGTCCCGAAGTTTCTACAAGAAAAGTAATTCCCACTTGAAAATCTGAATTTCTTTTCACTCTGAAACCCAGTTTTCTGGAAGAAAAAAGAAAAAACAAACCAAAAATAAAAATCCAAAACCACCCCAAATTTGAGTTTTCAGGCAGCTCTCCTGGTAAGCAAGACATTTTAATGGACATCACAAAGCTAAGCAGGTACCAGAGGGGAGCTGGAAGGGCACTATCAGAGTTGTTTAATTCAGTTTCTGTATCTGACACAGTAATTTTAGAACCTGTCTCTTACTCCTTATATACATTCATGACATGTTTCCTCCTTCCCCCATGGATTCAAGCTGCTTGTAAACTTGTCCAACCCTTAACTCGTGCTCCCCTAAACTGTATCTTCTCCTGATAATATACTTCTCCATCACCATATTGTGCTTTTAACCTTTGACAGAGCGTAAGCTGGTTTTATCAGAGAAGAGTTGATACTCAGGAGTTTTCAGTCTGAAAGGAAAAAAGATCTCGTATAGCTACAGATAACCAAAAACAAGCAATCAACTGTAAGTGCTGATTTTCACCCTCAGCCTCAAAATCCTCCATAAATGCACACTAACAATACGTCATTTTTAATTATCATTACTTATTTCAAGGTCCTAAGGGACTTTGAGCAAACTGGTTTAATGGAAGGTGCCCCTGCCCATGGCAGGGACGTGGAACTAGATGAGCTTTAAGGTCCCTTCCAACCCAAACCATCCTATGATTCTATGACTTGTGGGTGATATACCATGACACAAAGCACAAAATATAAAGTCTCCCAACACTTCTGGAAAGGAAGGGAAAATAACTGAGCTTTCAAGAGAGGGAAGTCATGGAAAATAAAAATAATCATTGACTGTTTTGGTTTGCTCAGGTAGAAGTTGTGAAAACACAGTGAACTTTTTGACTACAGTTCTCCTTGCAAGCAGGAAATTTAATTAGTCTGCCTCCAGTTCTGTTACTTATCAGCCAGGTATACCTTTGCTAAGGGACAGGGAAAGAACACAGCAAGTCTGCATTTCTCTTCATAGCTACAAACAGCCTGTTCACCATCTGAAAAGTTCCTGAAAAAAACAGATGAAAAATATAAAGCAATGTGAACTTAAAAGTGGGGGGAAAAAAGGGAAGGAAAAAAAAAAAGAAAATAAAAAGAGCAGGCACAAGAAATAAACCCTGCAAAGGCACACTGCTTTCTAGACAAAGGGCAGCTGTCAGCTGAATACCTTCAATGAAGAAACCAAATGATCTCTTTTGTGGGAAATGACAGTGGAGGATTAAAATGAAAAGTGGCCAAATAATTTACATGAGATGAGAATCCATATGATGGTAAAGAATGTAGATATCCTTGAAGCAGTTTCATTTCAATAACACTGAAGCCTAGAAAAATTGCAGATTCAGAGAAACCCTTTTTCTTTCAGGGATAATGTGCTTAGGACAATGACGGGGAGAGAATCCATCTCAGCCCTGGGCTCTGTAATGGAAGTAAACGCATTTCCCCCTCTCCTTTACCAAGGTGCCCCTATCTGAATTCCTGCAATAGCTGCCAATCTTTTTTTGCTTGGCTGTACAGCTTCTGTTATCCAGGCTTAGATATCAGATGCATTAAGCAATGCCTCTGTAGTGTTCCTGATAATCCACAGTGGAAGTTTTGCTGCTTCCTATCAGCTTTGCAGCTGCGAGGGAAGGGTTTGAAATGACCCAAACTATGGAGTAGTGGAAGGACGGCCAGGTTGGATGCTTTTTCATAGGGCTGGATGGCAGACACAAACAGATAAAACCACAAAATTGCTCAAAAGACCCTGGGCTGAGGAAAAGCTTAGTTTACAGCGTGACGTAACGGTTAAAGCTTCAAAGCGTGGAAGTGATTCAATGTAGAGAGGCTCAAATGTGTTGCAGGATAACAATTCAACTGTGGGTCAGCTGTTACAGCAGAATTACACACACTTCGAGGTGAGGTAATTCAGGTATGTGTACACCAGGGCAGTCTCACTGAAAGGATAATTTACCTTGCAATTAGTGGGAGGTAAGAACATGAAGATGGGTATTTGTTGAAGAAGAGCAGACATGCTGCAACCTCAATCCCTCATTT